AAGCTACATTCTTGGTTGCAGAGCTCAGAATTTCACATGGTAGCTTTTTCCAGTCAAAGGACCATGTGGTTAATGCATTATCCAGATAAAATGTCTTTTCCTAGGTCATCTGTCCATTTTACAATATCTTGAGAGCTAAGTTAGATGAGATAATCAACTGTGGTTGTTGGTCACCCTACTATATTCGCCTAGATTGCCTTTCAAAGTGACCTTTTCCTTTTCCTCAAACCTCCTAATCTCTTCCTCTCAGCAGATGACTTTGTTTCATATTTCCTTGAGAAAACAGACACCATCCTTCAGGAACTCTCTCATCTTTTCATCACAAATTCATCTACTTATCTGATCCTCACTCACTCTTTCTTACCTTCCTTCCTACTACCCTTGATGAAGAGCCCTTACTCTTATCTAAGGCCAGCACCCACTTGTACTTTGTACCTATCTCATCTTCTAAAGGATTTTGATTCTGTAAGTGTCCCCATATTTAAGGCATGAGTTTCTAATCCTTACAGGGTTATTTCCATCAGCACATAAATAAGCTAATCTATCATTTGTCTTGGGCAAGGGGGAAACTCTAACTTCTTCATTTTCTAGTCTCCCTTTATAGCAAAAGTTCTTACAATAATTGTCTATTAGTCATTGTCTTTGCTTTCTCACATTTTCTGCACAGCCCACTTCAATCAGACTTTCTTCCCCAACACTTCACCCCTATTTTCAAGGTCACTAATCACTTTCCGATTGCTAAATCCAGTGGTTATTTCTATGCTTTAATTTTATTTAGTCTTCCCCTGGGCTATGTCCCAAATCTTCCTTCTTAAAATACTTTTTTGTTTCTTTTGCTTTTCCCTTGGATTCTGTTACACTATATATCTTGGAAATCCTGAAACATAAGATTTTTGTAATATTGAGGCGTTTCTCTCAGAAGAAACCTGTCTGGGAGTGAGAGAATCTGCACAGGGCAGGGAAAGAACCTGAATAAAGAGGTGGTTCCAGGAGAAATGTAGTTTCAGCCCAATCCCTTCAGAGCTTTGGGGCATGCCCTGTAGCACAGAGGCAAAGGGGTTGGGCTGTTATGTCCTGGCATCTGTCATGGTCTAGCAGCTGTCTGGGAGGATGGAGCAGAGGCACAACATTCCAGGTAAAGCACTTCCTTGCAGTTAAGGGAAATTCTTCCAGAAAGGGTGCAGAAGAAAGTCCTCATAGGATAAATTCATGGTAGCTGCGAATGGAGCACTGCTCAGCTGTGGGATGAGGTGTACCAGTTGCTTTAAGTGGCCTATCTTTCCCTTCTACTTCAGCCACTCCTCAGTCACTTCCTCTGCTGGGCTCACATTCTCATCTCTTACAATCCCACATGATGCCTTTTACTTACTGAAGGCTCACAAATTGATTCTGTGTTCTTGATTACTCCAGAAAACCCTAGAATTACATTTACAACTCCTACCTGACATTGTCATTTAAAGATCTAAAAGGCTTCTTAATTTTAACTTGGATAAAACTAAACTCTTGATTCCTTGTCCCTCCTCCAAACCTGCACTTGTCCCAGTTTCCCCATCTCCGGTGCTCAAGTTCCAAGTTTAGGTGTTATTCATGATCTTCTATTTATCTTACATCATACAACATTCTGGCTCTTCATCCAAAGTATATCCCAAACCCATCCACCTCTCTCCAGGTCCACCACCCACTACCTAGCTCAAGCCGTTGCCTCTTGCCGGCACCACTGCAGTATTGCCTCTGAGTTCTCTTTGTGTTTCACTTCTTGTTGCCCCTGCAGATTCTGCTGTACAGATGCCAGGATGATCCTGTTAAAACACATGTCAAATAATGTTACACGTATGCTTAAAACCCTACAGTCATTTCTCACTGAACTTAGAGTAAAATCCCAACCCCTTACCCTGGTTTATGAAACCATATGTAATCTGGCCCAGGTATATCTTTCCAACCTCTTTTTTGGCTGAGCGTTCCTCTACCTACAGTGCTGAGCCACATCAGCTGCATCTCCTGGCCTCCTCAACCACACCAAGAATGTGCCTCCATTGGGGTCTTTATTTTGACCATTTCTTCTTCCTTATTGTCACTCAGATCTCAGTCTATATATCAACTTCTGAGACAGGTTCTCCTGATCAATCAATCACTTTCTCCTCACTCTTTAAATTGTCTCTAGAACACTTAACACTGTCTGCTATTTTTGTATTAATTTGTTTAGCCATTTATAGTCATTGGATGGTTACTTTCTTACTGTGTAAGTGCCTTGAGGGCAAAGATGTTACATGTCTTATGCACGCAATGAATATTTTTTAATGAGTGAATAAATGAATGGCGACCCACCTGCTTTAAGATATATGTATTCACTTAGAATACATATTCTGTGTAGTTTAGACTGCATATTTAAAACTGTTTGTTTATGGATATATTTCTAAGCATCAAAAAAACCCACAAAAAAACCAAAAACAAAACCAAAACTGAAACCCACCCTTCTTTACAGTCAAGATTGATTATAATCTGTGATTTCCTTTTGACATACAATGAAATCTAGTTACTATGTACCTTCATGTGTCTGGGCCAGACCCTTATATTCTGTAAAACACAATGACAAAAATATATCTAACTCATATGTAAGAACTTACCACATAACATGCAAAATGAGCACTGTACGGTATATACCCTCAGAAATACACAGAAAAGCATTGATAGTGTGGGAAATTACAAGCTGTTTCTTGTTTACTTTAAAAATATATGTTACCATCCTTTTTTTTAGGTGATAATTCACCATGAGTCTCACACTTCTGCACATTCTGTAAACAGAGGCACTGACTGGCTTTGTTTTGGACCAATTTTTCCAGTATAATTACATAGCAGACAGCCTTGGAGATTAGAAATAGTATCTTCCTCTGGACTGAAGGGCATGGTTACTGCCCATTATAAAAGATTCAGGGTCCCTAAACTCATTGTTCCTGTTCAGTAACACAGCCTACTTCACATCTAGGTATCTCTTTGTGTTCTTTGCATTTTCAATGCAAAAATAGTAATATTCTGGACACTGCTATTGTTCTAAGTAATAAACGATCCCTTTTATCTTTCCCAGGGGTCTCATGTTTTCTACCAGCATTCACGAAACTGCGGCAGGTTCACTTGTTAGCTTGTAAACTGGGTAAAATCTTGGACCTTTCACAATGCCTGACACATTCTTGCATATCTTGCCAGTCCTCATGGAGATTTTCTTGGGCTCTCAGTACTACTAGACTGCTGTGCATGTTTCACTGAATTTAGGCAAAAGGATGCAATCTACCTCGTTTTGGGAGAGACTTCAAATAGTCACTTTCATAGGCAAATAATGGATCCCCAAAGATGACCACACCTAATCCCCCGATCCTCTGAATGTGTTAGGTTATATGACAAAGGGGAATTAAGGGTGCAGCTAGAAGTAAGGTGGATAGTCAGCTAACCTGGAGAATGGGAAGTTACCCTAGATTATCCAGGTGGACCCAGTGTAATTATGAGGGTTTTTAAATGTGGAAGAGTCAGCATTAGTGTGATGTGATTTGAAAAAGACTTAACTAGCCACTACTGACTTTAAAGGTACAAGTGGGGCATATAAGCCAGGGAATGGAGGCCGACTCTGAAAGTTAGGAAAGGCAAGCGAAGAGATCATCCCCTGGAGTTTCTAGAAATGAACACCAGCTTGATTTTAGTCAGTGAGACTGTTTCTGATTTCTGATCTCCAGAAATATAAGATAAATTTGTGGTGTTCTAAGCCACAAAATTTCTGATAATTTTTTATAGCAGTTGTGGGAAACCAATGCAGTTACAGACTCTGGATAAAATAGCTACATGAATGTATTTTAACTTCACATTTACAATAGAAGAAGACCTCCAACATGGTAGTAGATGTATTATACTATTATAAATTAGGATAATGGTAATTCTCAGACAAAAGCACATATGCAAGTGAAACCTTTACCATGAATTCCTAGGATGAGAAATTTCATTTTAATATCAATGTATATTTCTTTGTATTAATTTAAATCATTGTCTTATATCAATAACAAGTACTAGGTGACATTTAAATATAAATGGCTTAAATTTTCTTCTTAATTTTTTAGTTTTATGTAAATTCATTAGTTTGTTAAAACTTCCAAGATTCCTTTTATTTGGCCTTACTATTAAAATTCTAAAGTATGCAATTGGTAATTAAACCTGAATAGTAAATTATGTTTGGGAGTAAAATAAAAGACTCTTTGTATTTTGGAAAGTACAATTAGATTTTACAAAGAATATTACTATATTTTTGGGAACAATCCTGTATCACTGATTTATTGGATTACAACATCAAGGAGGAACTTTTTAACTCCCCTTATGTGGAGTTCTTCCTGGGCCTGACCAATCTGTTCTCTGTAGGACAGATAACTGTAGGGTAGATCTTGTCTACCCTCATTATACCATTTCAATAGTTTCTTTTCTAAATTTTGTGATCATACAGAGTGACATCAAAGTTAAAGACCCTCCTGAGGCTGTATACATGTAATAGAGTGGTCTTATTGGCCTACATGAGATAGCTCCTTTGGGAATAGTATGTCAGGAGGACCTCAGATCTTTGGCTCTGTTTCTGTTTTCAGTAACTTAGTTCCTTTGCTGAGTGTTTAATAGTTTGATTCTATAGGTCACAAGGTTTGGATACTCTTAAGTTGCTCAAATGATTTATAAATGGATCATTCATTTATAAATTGTGGTTTTACATATCCTTGGGATGGTTTGTAATATAATTTTAATGAACTTAACTGCTCTAATTAAAAATTAAATTGTGTTTTAATTAACAAAGTGAGCATGAAGTTCAAATGAACTTTATTTATAAACATAATTTTAGGTATAAGTGAAATAATTGTTTAAAATATTTTGAAGTTTTCTTAGGTTACATAGATCTGAGCAAGGGGGCTTAAATTATTTCTTTTTTTCATTTGAAGTTGGATAATACATGAGTCCATTAAACCTCTATATGTTTGCAGTTGACAACACTAAATCTGGGAAACAACCTTTTAGAAGAAGTTCCGGAAGAGATGAAATATCTTACATCTCTGAAGAATCTCCATTTATCTGGAAATAGGATCTGCAGATTTGCACCTGGAGCCTGTGGTAATTTAGTCAACAAGGAGCAACATTATAGCACCAAATTTAATCTCTCATATTTAATAATATGAAACTGAAATGAAAAAGAATTTTGCATGTTTAGTCTTTTTTTTGTGGGAGATATTTACATACTACTCTTGAAATATAGGAGGAATGGCCGGGCGCGGTGGCTCACGCCTGTAATCCCAGCACTTTGGGAGGCTGAGACGGGTGGATCACGAGGTCAGGAGATCGAGACCATCCTGGCTAACCCGGTGAAACTCCGTCTCTACTAAAAAATACAAAAATTAGCCGGACGAGATGGTGGGCGCCTGTAGTCCCAGCTACTCGGGAGGCTGAGGCAGGAGAATGGCGGGAACCCGGGAGGCGGAGCTTGCAGTGAGCTGAGATCCGGCCACTGCACTCCAGCCTGGGCGACAGAGCGAGACTCCGTCTCAAAAAAAAAAAAAAGAAATATAGGAGGAGACAGCATTTTTTTAAAAAAGTATTGTATCATATGTTTATTTACATGTAGACCTAAGAAAATAAGTAAGCATCAGTGTTAATGAATTTTCCTGTTTGTAGAATCAATATAAAGTCAAATAGTGAATCTGGGGACTCTTTTCCTGAGCCAGAGATAATTCTATTGGAAAGTCAAATCAAGTAAAGGTCTACGGTAGCTTTGTTCTTTTCACTTTTTATTCTGTCTTAGATATTAAGTCACACTTTTTGATCAAGATACTAAATTTAAATCAATTTGGGGAACATTTTAAAGAAAATATATGAGATCCAATAAGTAGCATTTTTTTCTTTCCTTTTCCCATTAAGTAATAATTTCTCCATTCAAGATGACGCTATTCTTATTTAATATTCCTAGAGTGGGCTTAAGGACAAATGTATGACAAAGCGATCTAGATGGCTTTTATAGCTTTATCAACTAATGCAAGGTACTTCACCACTTTCTGTGTTGGTCCTTAGTAGTAAAACTAGAGAAATATTATAAAATTTATAAATTTCTATGAACTTTTGAGGCACAGGTGCTATATATAATCATTGTCATCTTCACACAGAGTTTATTAACTGCATTACCACATGCAGCAATAAATTAGGGGTTATATTTGGCAAATAGCACAAGTACACTCTAGTACTGTCTTTTTAAAGGTACTTTAAAATCTTAGGTCATATATCTTGGAAAAATATTCTTTTCCAAAATAATAGATGTAACAAACAATTATTGATACTTGAACACATTATATATGCAAAGCCATAGACCAGAATTCAGTTACAAATTTACCTTGGAAGAAAACAGTTTACACTAAAAAAGTTAAGGCCATGCAAATCAATAGATAATAATATTTTATGACCTATACTGAGGGGACAAATGTAAGTGCAACCTGATATACATAAACAATATTGAACATACTAATTTATACTAATTAAGGCTCTATAAGGAATTTTCTATCATGTTGCCTTTAAATTTGAGATAAGTTAGGTATATATATGTCTGTATCTATATCTATATAGATATATTTTATATATGTATGTAAAAATTTTTTGGAGTGCTCTTGAATGTCTTTAGTGTCTATATTTCTTTTTAAAAATAATTGTTTTTTTAATTGACAGATAACAATTGTACATACTCATGGAGTACATAGTGATATTTTGATACATATAATATATAGTGATCAGATCAGGGTAATTGGCATAGCTATCATTTCAAACACTTATTTCTTTGAGTTGGGAACATTCTTGATTTGGGGTTGTTGAACTTCGAAAATCCCATGTGATTGACCTAAGTTATGTACTATGTCAGGTCCTGATGATTCAAGATCAGAAGTAGTTTGATGTCAGGGAGTTTAATGCTGCCCAGCATGGGTCTGAACAACCTTGTTGCATTACATGACCCTGTTTCCCTGACCAGAGCAAATTGATCAGGGCTGGAGTTGTATTCCAAACTAAGCTTGTCATATTTTCTCTTTCTTGGGAATTGTGATAGAGTCTAAAACAGTTTAATTGGTTTGAGATAATTACATGACCTTAGGCAGAGGTTGCAAACTGGTGGCCCATGGACTGAATCTGGCTCATAAATAAATGGATTCTATTTTGTTGGCCTTTAAAAATCTTTGAATTAGGTGCTCATGTTTTCAAATCAGGAGAGTTCACATAGAAGTCTGGATCTCTGGCTCTTTTTAAAAATCTGTTTTAAAAAAGAAAGATTTAGCAACACTGCAGTTACATTCCCGTATGACAATTGCCAGAGCTGGCTGAATGGTGGTGGCCCTGTCTGACATGGCATGGGATTATCATTTTGATTCCTGTGGACAAGCGAGTTTGAAAGCTCTGTCTTTCCTGTCTGTGAACATTCAAATTCAGAAGTTGTAATATGGTTATGAGTACATAGAAAAATAGAGCAAACATGTTCAAAAGAGAGAATGTAGGGAGGAAAGAGAGTGCGAGTAAGATATTATAAATACGAAAATGAGAGAAGCTGTAATGAAGAACTAAACTATATTTTCTGCAGAGATATTCAGACAGTACATTCTTAGGTTCTGGGTGCCTTTTAGCTTCTGATTCCAGTTTGTGATGAGCTTAGTTGCATCCTCATTCCTCAGGCACAGTGATGTGAGTTAGATCTGTAACTTTGTGATAAATCACTCCTTTTTGCTTTAGCTAGTTTAAGAGGGTTTCTGTTACCACCACCAAAAAAGCCTTGGCCAAGGCAATAACCAGAAGGAAAATAAAGGTATGTAGAAAAGTAGAAAGTGACTAAAATTATCTAACAGATGGCTAAAGTGACTAAAATTATTTTTCTAACAGATGGCTTACAAAATTTAATCCTGCTTAATCTGAACAACAATCATCTTATGCAGCTTCCTCAAGAAGTCAGCAGGTAATTTTGTTTATAGCAAGACTTGGTTAACAATCACGCCCCTCCTCTATCCCCACCCTGGTCATTTGAAAGCGTTATGCCTAGCAACAAGTCCCTGTGGGATTTATACATAGCAAAGAGGGATCTGAAGGACTGAGGCAAGCCACTAATTTTAAGCAGATGATTCTTTAAACACTTTGGAGAGATGAGAAACAGCATGACTTGGTAATCTTTAGTGTAAACATTGGACTTTGAAACATAAAGTTCTAAAGCTGATGGTCTCATTGATTTCCCACCTCTGAGGTTCTTGGAGCTTGGATAGCCACAGAATTGGGCACATTAAATGTTATTTCGCATGTGTATTGTAAACCATTTTGAGTTTGATGGAAAACGTAATATAAAAACTAAGGATTTAAAACTGCTATGTCATTTTCATTTTTAAAAACCCCACATTCTATTGTCATTAACCAAAAAAAAAGAAAAAAAAAAAAAAGCTGTTTTTCCTTATCCTGCACATCTGCACAGACCGAATGCCTTTCTGGAGCCAGCTGAGAGCCTTGTCCTTCTGTAGGCAAAACGTGCTCTTGGGCTTTTCCTCTGACAGATGGAGAGAGAACTCTGTTCAGGTTTACTTTGGAGACTCCCTTTATTGCCTGTTGAGCAGAAACAGATGTATCACAGAGCAAGAGCATCCAGAGTTTTAAAAGAGAATACAAAACTTTGAACAGTCCTCAACACAGGGCTCTCTGCAGCACCTAACATCTATTCCAATTTACTTCTCTGTACCTCTAGCCAATGCATTAGTTTTTTCCAAATATATTTTTATAAGGAAAGCAATATTTTAAGTCAGAGCACCTAGAAAAGAATTGAATCAATCTAATTTCTATAGAAGATAAATATTTGCAGCAATGAAAATGCCATGCTAATAGTTGTCTGCTTGTTTTTCTATTAATTCAGCTTATCAATCGATTTATATATTGATGATGATATAATTTTAAAAATCCCTTGGGAGATCTCGTGAATGAGGTTCAGGGCATATCTCTGTGCAACTAGATGTATGCCTTTGGGCAAGTAAGTTAACTGCTTTGAACTGCTGCTTTCTCATCTCTAAAGAAAGAATTTTGAATAGATGAACCTCAAAGTTTTTGCAGCTATAACATGTTATGATTTCACAATTTCATACACTTATCTCTGTTTGTAATACAAATTACAATATTCAAGGAATCATGTAAATCTAAGGGAGTATGTTACAAAGATGAAAGAATGCTTTCACTGAAAAAAAAGTAGGATTGCAAAGCGTATAGGTCTATTCTGTTTTATAGTTAACTCTGGGTTGTCTGTATTCTGGCCATATCCTATATATTGACTAATTGATCATCTGTCTAAGCAGAATTCCATTTTCGGAGCCGGGGAAAGTTTCTTCACCTTTCTATATCTTAGCATCTTCATCTGCAAAATGAGGATGATGATAGTGTTTTCTTCATTGGACTGTTTTGATGGTTAAGCGAATTCATACAATATATTTAGGGTTGAGCCTGGGACATAAAAGGTATTAGGGTTGAGTAGGTGCTCAATGGATGTTTGCTTTTATTATTATTGGTTATTATTTTTATTCTAGCTTCTTTCCATTTCCTTTGTTCACTCATTTCCAGAGACAAAAGAATGATTTCTTAGTGGATTTGGGTGAAGCATTGAGCACGTGTAGTTTGACATTCTCCTCTTGCCCTGCCATGAAGTAAGCAGCAGCCTCAGCAGGAAAGGCTGTGAAGGGGTGGAATATTTAATACAGAGGAGGACTAGCAGGGACTCAGAGTGATCATATCAGCTCTGTGCTGATGTTTAATTTCCTTCTCTCTAAATCCTATATCTTATTTCTCAATTTATTTAGAACTTAGGAGAGGGAAAAGGGAGTTTTGATTTTTGACTTGTTTAAACTACCATTCATGGACTTGGAGTCAAATTTGGGCAGGTAAGAGTTTTACACCTAAACAATTCTGTCATGGGCAGCACTGCACAGGCACAGGAGGAGGACAGCATGGGCATCCTGGTGACAGAATGAGTTTAGAAGACAGCGAGAGAGAGAGAGCAAGGGACTAAGTTGGCAGGCTCAGTTCTTTCTCCAAATTTGTCCATCAGTGAAGTTGTTCTTCAATCTCCTGGGGAAGACAGATGTCAGGGAGAAGCTGCAAGTGTATCTCCTGTAGATGTTCTTTGGAAAAGTAGAACATCTCCTTGCTTTGTGGAAATAGAAACAATGGCAGATGTTTGCTTCTCTCTCTCCTCTTTACTCACACAAATTAATGATGGACAAATGAACAATAGGATGAGCTCATTTTATTGACTTGAAATAACAAAAAAGATGAAAAGCCAACTCCCATGATATAGTAAATCAGATATAATAAAAATAATGATTATAAAAATGATTAATGAGGAAAATTCCCCCTTTCCCCACAGGATCTGCTCCACACATTTTCACTCCATTTCAGTGCTGAGTTGTCCTTCTTTGACCCTTTATACTGCAAAGAACTTCACTTCCTGTTTTCCTGAGAAATTTGAGCTCCCTCAATTCCCTTCTTTCCAGCCTGTTTCTCTCCATTGTTCTATTTCTTTCCTCTCTCTCTTGCTTCCTTATTATCTCTCTCTAAAGTGTCCTGTGTCTATTGCTTTTGCTTCCTGTGTAACACATTGTAAATTTTCTTCTGTCTTCTCCATTCTTTTTTTAAAATTATTATTATACTTTAAGTTCTAGGGTACATGTGCACAATGTACAGGTTTGTTACATATGTATACATGTGCCACGTTGGTGTGCTGCACCCATTAACTCATCATTTACATTAGGTATATCTCCTAATGCTATTCCTCTCCCCTCTCCCCACCCCACGACAGGCCCTGGTGTGTGAGGTGAGAACACTTCCTATATCCAAGTGTTCTCATTGTTCAGTTCCCACATATGAGTGAGAACATGCAGTGTTTGGTTTTCTGTTCTTGCAATAGTTTGTGGAGAATGATGGTTTCCAGCTGCATCCATGTCCCTACAAAAGACATGAACTCATCCTTTTTTATGGCTGCATAGTATTCCATGGTGTATATGTGCCACATTTTCTTAATCCAGTCTGTCATTGATGGACATTTGGGTTAGTTCCAAGTCTTTGCTATTGTGAATAGTGCTGCAATAAACATACATGTGCATGTGTCTTTATAGCAGCATGATTTATAATCCTTTGGGTATATACCCAGTAATGGGATGGCTGGGTCAAATGGTATTTCTAGTTCTAGATCCTTGAGGAATTGCCACACTGTCTTCCACAATGGCTGAACTAGTTTACAGTCCCACCAACACTGTAAAAGTTTTCCTATTTCTCCACATCCTCTCCAGCACCTGTTGTTTCCTGACTTTTTAATGATCGCCATGCTAACTGGTATGAGATGGTGTCTCATTGTGGTTTTGATTTGCATTTCTCTGATGGCGAGTGATGATGAGCTTTTTTTCATGTGTCTGTTGGCTGCATAAATATCTTTTTTTGAGAAGTGTCTGTTCATATCCTTTGCCCACTTTTTGATGGGGTTGTTTGTTTTTTTCTTGTAAATTTGTCTGAGTTCTTTGTAGGTTCTGGATATTAGCCCTTTGTCAGATGAGTAGATTGCAAAAATTTTCTCCCATTCTGTAGGTTGCCTGTTCACTCTGATGGTAGTTTCTTTTGCTGTGCAGAAACTCTTTAGTTTAATTAGATCCCATTTGTCAATTCTGGCTTTTGTTGCCATTGCTTTTGGTGTTTTAGACATGAAGTCCTTGCCCATGCCTATGTCAATGGTATTGCCTAGGTTTTCTTCTAGGGTTTTTATGGTTTTAGGTCTAACATTTAAGTCTCTAATCCATCTTGAATTAATTTTTGTATAAGGTGTAAGGAAGCGATCCAGTTTCAGCTTTTTACATATGGCTAGCCAGTTTTCCCAGCACCATTTATTAAACAGGGAATCCTTTCCCCATTTCTTGTTTTTGTCAAGTTTGTCAAAGATCAAATGGTTGTAGATGTGTGGTATTATTTCTGAGGGCTCTGTTCTGTTCCATTGATTTGTATCTCTGTTTTGGTGCCATCTCCATTAAGCTACCAACGACTTTCTTCACAGAATTGGAAAAAACTACTTTAAAGTTCATAGGGAACCAAAAAAGAGCCCGCATTGCCAAGACAATCCTAAGCCAAAAGAACAAAGCTGGAGGCATCATGCTACCTGACTTCAAACTATACTACAAGGCTACAGTAACCAAAACTGTCTTCTCCATTCTACTGTAGATCATTTTCAAAAGTCGTTACTGTCCTTTACATAGTCAAGTATAATGACCTTTTTTTCCTGCTGAATAAAAATTACATAAAACTATTCAATGCATTTTGGCAAATGTACACACACCAATAACATGTAAAACATTTTCTTCAGCCCAGAAATTTCCTCGTGCACCCTTCCAGTGAATTCTTACCTCTCATAAGCAATCAATATTCTGATTTCTGTCTTCTTTACAAATTAGTTTTACCATTCCTAGAACTAAATAAATGGAATCATATAGTATATATGTTTTTGTGTCTGTCTTCTTTTGCTTAGCATATTTTTTGAGACTCACATAACTGTTGCATTTATTAATAGTTCATTGGTTTTTTTTGTTGTTGTTGTTTGTTTATTTTTTTGAGACAGAGTCTGGCCCTACTCACTCAGGATGGAGTGCAATGAAGCGATCTCAGCTCACTGCAATCTCTGCCTCCTAGGTTCAAGTGATTCTCCTGCCTCAGCCTCCCGAGTAGCTGGTATTACAGGTGCCTGCCACCACACCCAGCTAATTTTTGTATTTTTAGTAGCGATGGGGTTTCACCATATCGGCTAGGCTGGTCTCGAACTCCTGACCTCAAGTGATCTGCCTGCCTCGGCCTCCCAGTGTTGGGATTACAAGCATGAGCCACCATGCCTGGTAGATTTTGTTTATTCTGAGTAGCATTTCATTGCGGGAATATGCCCTAAATTATTCATCTTTTCTCCTATTGATGTATACTTGGGTTTTTTCCAGTTTAGGGCTATTATGAATTAAGTTACATTAAACATTATTGTACACATCTTTTTGTAAACATGTTTAATTTCATTTTCGTTTAAATTTCTAGGAGTAAAATGGAAATTTATTTCTCATAGTTCTGGAAGTTGGGAAGTGAAGATCAAGGTGCTGGCAGATGTGATATCTGGTGAGGGTGTACTTCCTGGTTCATAGAGTGCCACCTTTCTCACTGTGTCCTCACATGGTAGAAGGGGCAAGGAGTTCTCTGGGGCCTTTTTTGAGGACATTAATTACATTTATGAGGTTTACCCCCTCATCATGACCTAATCATCTCCCAAAGGCCCCGTCTCGTAATACCATCACATTGGAGATTATATTTTAACATATGAATTTTGAAGAGACACAAATATTCAGACCATAGCACTATCATTTCTCTAATACCATACGATCTTGATTGCTGCAGCTGCATTGTAAGTTTTGAAATAAGGTAATGTGAGTCTTTTGATTTTATTCTTTATAATAGTTTGGCTATTCTAAGCCCTTTGAATTTCCATATACATTTTAAAATTGATTTATCTTTTTTTTTTTTTTTTTAATGTGGGCTCTCACTATGTTTCCCAGGCTGGTCTTAAACTTCTGGGCTCAAGTAATCCTTCCACCTTCACCTCCCAAAGTTATGGGTTTACAGCCATGAGCCACAGCACCCAGCCCGAGTCAAGTCTTACACAAAAAAAGCTGTCAAAATTTTTATTTGGATCTATTATTGAATCTTTAGATCAATATTAAAAAGTTGATATCTTAGCAATATTTTTCTTTTCTATTTCTGAATATAATGTATCTCTACTTTTATTTAGAGCCCCTTTACATTCTCTCAGTCATGATTTATAGTTTTCAGTGTAGAGGTCCCTCATGTCTTTTGTTATATGTACTCTTAACTACTTCATGAAGGGTTTTTTATACATTACTATAAATGGAAATCTTAAACTTTTATTTTCCAATATTTTGTGGCCACAATATGGAGATACAATAGATTTTTAAAATATTGACTTGGTAGTTTGTGACTGTGTGTTAGGTCTACTAGTTTTGTTTGTTTGTTTGGATTATCACTCTTTAACATTTAAATTTTTGACCATCTCTTCAATTTTGAAATTTTCTTCTCTCACACCTTCAGAGATTCCTTGCTAATCTGGTTCTTCTTCTACTTCTCTGGTCATAACTTTGCTGGGTGCCTTTAATTTTTAATGGTCAGTTGTTTATATTTCTCAAGAATCTTTCTATTGGCTTCCTCTCTTTTCTCTCTGCCTATTTTCTTTTGTTTTTCCTGTCAGTCCCATGTATTCATATGGCTTCTACTGTGTATCGAGAAATCTATAGAATCCTTAAAATTCCCTTTGCTAGCACTGATGACTTCCTAACCTCCAGTCTCCCATTTTCAACTGCCTAAAAATTTAGTTCCCTCATTCTTACATTACTTCAGTCTTAACACACTTCAACCTTGAGATCATTACATGTTTTCACTCTTAGCTTTTCAAACAGACACACCTGCATTAGAATTTTGACATTGTTACCTACCAGATAGGTAACTTGGGAAATTTATTTACTGCCTCTAATGCTTTATTTTCCTCACTTTTAAAATAAGAGTAGTAATTCCAGTCTCAGAGTTTTGTTGATGATTAAATTTAATGCACAGGCATGTAGTTGTGCTTAGTAATGTTAATTCCCTTCTGCTTCCTTATTCATAATATTTTTTCTTAGCTTACTATTCTCTCTTATTGCCCTATTTTATAAGTTCTTTTATTCAGGGCCAAATTTAAAATGTCAGTTCTTTAGAAAAACTTGCAATATGCTTCAGGAACCATATCGGCAATTACAGAATCAAATTTCCTTAACCTTTTTCTCCTTAGCCAATGATATTTACTGTTCTCAATTTATGGCTCTATTTAATATCTCCTTCTAAACCATGACATCCAAAAGGGCAGAATTTGTGGCTGATTCATCTTTGAACTTCCACAGCAATTGAGCAGTACTCATATCTATTTGGTACTAGGTATATTTATGTCTATGTATGCTTATGCCTGTACCTGTATCGATCTGTATACATAGGTGTGTCCATGTTCTCCTTGTCCTCTAGCTTTCTCTTGGATATGAGCAATGTAAATGTATAAAGGAAGGAAATAGAATTTTCTTTTTCTTAAATCTAGGTTTTGATTACCTAACATACTTTTAACATAAGCCATCTGATTACAAAAGGTCTTTAAAAATTAAATTTCAGCAAAAACTTTTTATACTTATGATTCACAATAGTTGTAAACACTTGACTGAAGAAAGCTCAGATGAGCTACAAAAAATAAACTTACACATGGCTTCTGCTAAGTTGGGCCTATATAATGGACTCTGTTATTCTTGTGAGTTTCATTTGTATACTTTGGTGTTTTTTTTTTAGATTAAAAAGTCTTACTTACATGAGTATAAATTATAACCAACTAGTCAGCATTCCTAGAGAACTTTGTTTTCTTAAGAATCTTGTTGAACTTCAACTTAACTACAATCAGCTGATATGCATACCTGAAGAGATTAAGTTCTTGAAGAAGCTTCAGAAATTTTTGCTAGCCAGAAACAACATTGGAGTTTTGCCAGAGGTGAGCAAAACGTGGAACCACACCACTTTGTTGTTGGAGAAGAACTCAACATGATGGGAGGTGGTTATAGATTAGATTTGGATATCTGAGTATAAGCCACCACTTGCTTTCCCTCAGATTAAATGTAGTCAGTTCCCAAATCCCTATGACAGAGGAAGGCTATAATTTGAATTATCCCACATAGCTAGGGCTGCCAGATTTAGTAAATACAAATATAGAATGCTCACTGAAATTTGAATTCCAGACAAGCAATGATTAAATTTTTTTGCTATAAGTATTTTGCAAATATTTCATGGAATAGACTAAAAAACATATTTATTGTTTGTCTGTTATTTCTTTTCTTTTCTTTTTTTTTTTTTTGAGACAGAGTCTCGTTCTGTTGCCAAGGCTAGAGTGCAGTGGCACGATCTCGGCTCATTGCAACCTCCACATCCCGGGTTCAAGTGATTCTCCTGCCTCAGCCTCCTGAGTAGCTGGGATTACAGGAAGACACCACCACGCCCAGCTAATTTTTGTAATTTAATAGAGACGGGTCTTCACCATGTTGGTCAGGCTGGTCTCAAACTCCTGACCTCATGATCTGCCCGCCTCGGCATCCCAAAGTGCTGGGATTATAGGCGTGAGCCACCGTGCCAAGCCTTGATATTTCAATTTAAGTGAGCATTATGTATTTTATCTGGTAACCATGTATACAGAACAAAATACAAGTTCATTTTGGCTTTGGAATGTGTACTGGCTCTCCTCCTTTTTTCCTTCATATTCACTCTCTGTCCTGCCTTCTGCTTGGGAGACTGACCTGTGTGGGCAGCAGTGAACTCCTTTGTCTTCTGGTTTCCTCTTGGATATGGCAGATGAGAGGCACTAGCGGGAAGTGACAGGGCAGGAGGATAGCGAGTAGTTGATGGTATTCAACTACTTGAATTGTGGGTTGGCTGTGTGCCTTTCTGGAAGGCCACAACTAATGAACTAATAACATACTTACATGGGTAGATAGATAGATAGACAGATAACTGGATAGATAACAGGGGATTTATTAGGGGAATTGGCACACATAATTATGGAGACTGAGAAGTCCTACAGCAGACTATCTGCAAGCTGAAGACCCTGGAGTGCTGGTAGTGTGACTGAGTCCAACTCTGAAAGCCTCAGAACCAGGGAAGCCAATGGTGTAATTCTCAGTTGGAGGTCAAAGGCCTGATTACCGGGAGGTTGTGGTGGTGGCTGGAGGGGAAGGGTACTGGTGTAAATCTTAGAGTCTAAAGGCTGGAGAGCCCAGAGTTCTGAGGTCCAAGGGCAGAAGAAGAAGTGTCCCAGCTCCAGAAGAGAGAGGAAATCCCTTTTTTTCATCGAAGTCACTAACTGACAGGATGGTGCCCAGCAATACTGAAGATATATCTTTCCTACTCCTTCTACTGACTCACACACCCATCTCCTCTAGAAACAATCTCACACACATACACCCAAAATAAAGCTTTACCAGCATTCTAGGTATTCCTTAATCCAGTCAAGTTGGTACCTAAAATTAACCATCACACTAGACTCCTTGTAGTTCTATCCCAAACAACTGTTTGCTCTTAATGGAACATCATTTGTTCCAAAGAACTCAAAGAATCTCAGCCTAAACTTCACTTTTTCCAGGAAGCCTTTCCTGACCTCCTAATACCAAATTTTCCACATGTCACTGTTTCCTTAACCCTTCTTAACACTTCTCATTCTCATAGCACAACTTTGCCCTTGCCTATTTGTGAGTTTTTAAACCTTCATTGAATACTCGTGAGGGGTATACACATGCAAAGATTAGAACAAGGCAGCAACAAATATCAACAGCAATAATAGTGGCAGTCATGGCAGCAAAAATGAACAAATGAAAATGAAAGAGTCGACAGCAATGGAAGTAATGCTATGAAGTGTTTTCAAGTAGGGTGGGAAACCCTTATATCATAACATGAGATACTGAAGGAACACATTGGAGTCTGAAAATCTCTGCAGCTAATACAATACAAAGGAGAGTATCATGGCAATGGAAGATTATGTAGGAATTAAGAAGAGAACTCCCTTCAAGGATTTGCTGCCTAGCTGTAGGGAAGGGGATTGCAGACAGCCTCTAGCTGTTAGCTCTTTCAGGGTCTGCCTTAGCTGCAGAGAGCCTCTTTTCTTGCCCAAGGTCATGCTCTTCCTAAAGCATTCTGCATCTTGTGACCTAACAAGGGAGGGATATAAAGGCTTGGCCATTTCTGCCTGATAGAGAAGAATTTGGATGGGCAACAGCCCTCTGGAGCTCCCCACCCACCTAAACAAGATTCTATTGTGTCTGAATCCCACCTCAACTTCCCCATCTGCTCAGTCCTGCTTCCTGACCCTGCCTTTTACAGGGGTGATCCCTAATAAACATTTAGCACCCCAAATTCCATCTCAGCATCTGCTTCCAGAGAATGAAACCTGAGATAACATGTGACAAAACTGAAGAGGAAGAGTACTGGCATGACTAAAGAGGCATATCGTCTCCCTAGGGAGAGGTATGATCATCAATATATGAGTGACGTTTTAGAAATATCACTATAAGTGGTTGGGACTGTTTAGTAAGTCATACCTCTATTTTTCAATTTTTAATTTTTTTTTTTTAACGTTTCCACTTAAAAAGAAATAATACTTATCCTTTGCTTGCTAGTAGAAACACCAGAACCCAGATGCATTATAACAACTGTGTGGTTACTATGGTAATGAGCAGTCACATTTGGCATGTAGATAGAGGCGGTAACAGATCTTCTTTTATAAGGAAAGGGTTGTGTTAGCACAGGGCTAAGTAAAAGGTAGATGCTTAATAAATCCTGGTGGAATTTTTAATAGAGACAATACTCTAGGATTACATCTGTTTTCTGTTTCTCAACATCTTTCTATTTTTAATAATTGACAATGTCTACTGAGTGCTCACTACATAGTAGGCCTTTAGTAAGCACTTTCAGATTCATAACTCATTTAATTAATTCAACAACCATATGACTTAAGGGCTTCTATTAGCATTTTCATTTTACAAATGAAGAAATTGAAGTACAAAGAAATTAAGAAATTTGCCCATAGTTATAGTACCTGCCAGAGGTGAGATTTGAATCTAGAAGTAGTGTAACTCACAGTGGCCATGTTACATTGCCCCAGAGTGGTCAGAGGAAATGAAGAATTCAAAGATATCTGGCAGTCCAGGATATGGGGATCTGCTTGGGAAGATGTACTGAAGAATTGGTCGGTACAGTGATTAGAAAGACGGCTGCCTCCGTCATGTTGGAGCTTTAAAAAAATTTATGATTTTCCTTATGATTTTGAATATTAGATTAAAAAAATCTCTCTCTTCTGTTTTCTGACACAGGAACTTTGTGATCTTAAAAAACTAAGAATCCTAGACATAGCTGGAAATATTATTCAGATATTTCCATCAGGAGTAAGTAGAGTCAACTTTTCATTATAACTGAAAAATAATGTTGTTTATGCTATTGGGAATAGAAAAAATATGGGCAGACAGTAAAATCTGTAGTAACTGGAAACTTAAATTATACAAATGACTCAAAGATTTGCTTTTAGAATTTCAAAACCTGTTCTCTCTTGTTTCTTTCTTTGTGCTCTGTGCCTGCTGAACTTGTTTGAACTAAGTGAACTCTGATTGCTATTATAAATATTTTAATATATCAGCTATGATTAAATTTTTTGGTTATTACACACTGCTTTTGGTCACCTCTGACTTTTTGAAAATATTACTTTCCAGAGCATAAATTTTTATCCCTTGTAATTCAAGGGTGACACTTTTGTTAGTTGTTTTTAGGCCATAAACAATGAAAAATGCACTTTTTTCTCATTTGAAAATGAATTTTGACCTCATTTTATTTCAAATACGGTGAAACCATTTGTCTTAGCAACTCCTAACTTTTGAGAAAGAAATGTCAGTTTTCCTATTGCATTTTTATATCCAATTGAACATGCTTAAACATTCATGGTAATAATGAGAAGTCCATCTATCCAGAAGGTACTCAATGAATAGTTGTTGACCCATTAATTATTTTTCCTGATTTATCCACTCTAAATTGAGGTTTCAGTCTTTTTCTGCCTCCTAGAGCAATATTTTATACTGAAGGTAATTCAAATATAAAAAAATGAGTGTAAAGTCTGTGTTTTAGAAAAAAGCATACAGTTTTTAAATTGTGGCAAAATATACACAACGTAAAGTTTACCATTTTGATCATTTTTACTTGTATAGTCCACAGTACTAAGTACTTTCACACTGTTGCACAACCACTGGCATCATCCATCTCTAGAACCTGTTCATCTTCTCCAACTGAAACTCTGTATCCATTCAACTCTAACTCCCCAGTCCCTTTGTACACCTATTTTAGAAGTTCCTATAAATACTTTGAAATATGATATTTTCCCCCTCCATGGCAACCACAAATCTACTCTCTGTCTCTGAATTTGACTACTCTGGGTACCTAGAGTACCTAGAGTAAGTGGAACCAGATATTTGTCCTTTTACCACTGACTTATTTCACTTAGTAAAATATGACTAACATTAATTTATCTTATAGAATGTGTCAGAGTTTCCTTCCTTTTTAAGGCTGAATAATATTCAGTTGTATGCATATACCACATTTTGTCTATCCACAGGTATCTGCCCACCTGTGGGACCTTGGGCTGTTTTCTCATTTTGGCTATTGCTGCTATGAACATGGGTATACAAATATTTGTTCTTTATCTGCTTTCAGATCCTCTGGGAATATACTTAGATGAAATTGTTGAATCATATGATAATTCTATGTTTAACTTTTTAAAGGAATCACCACAGTGTTTCAAAAAATGTGTAGATTTGAATGTTTAGTAAAAATTGGCTATTGTTAATATTGACCCTGAAAATGCGACATGGTTTTATTTACCCTCTGTGTCTTAATTTAACTCTCTGTGTCCTGTGACGCCTCCCTGACTTCCAAAGCAGCCTTCTGGTGCCACTTTTTCTATGGTATCCCTGGTGCGACTGCTACTTCTATGGTACCTTCTGTTGCCACTTTTTCTATGGTGTTTCTATGGTATGCTTGAGCAACATAATGGAGTAATTCATTTCAAGTCTTTCTCGCTTTTGGATGGTAAGCTTCCAGAGAAAGAATACTCTTTTTTTCCTCTATACCTGCAGTGTCTTGAATTTTAACTCAATACATATTTGTTAAATGAACAAATCTAACTAACATTCTTAAACTTCATTTATTTTTCACCTTAGTAATCTGTTAATTGACTGTTTCTTCTATGAAGTGATTCTGTACTTAACAATTTTGATAAAACATAATTACTTAGATCTCAATAATTTGGAGTAATTTTGAAAGATCTGAGTTGGTTTCATCTGTGTAGTACCTATTTCAGAAATTTCTATAAACACTCTAACGTAAGAGGATCTGCAAACTCATCTGAGCTTTGGTCCAACCATTTCAAATTATTTTGGTTCAACTGATTCAAAATCAAAGTTTCCCACATTAAAAATATGGCACAAGTGGTGGACCTAGAGGATAAATGACCGACTCTAGGTCACACTATGATTATCAGTGAAAGAGAGTAAGTTTCAAAGTAATGGTAGAGAACATTCAAAACAAGCCATACTTTTTGTGAAACAGAGTAGTGTAGAAGTGAATAACATAGACTTTGGAGTCATATACACATGAGTTTAAAGCACTAATTTCCTATTTTCTAAATTTGTGATCTCAAACAATTTGCTTAATTTCTAAGAGTTGCTGTTTCTTCATCTATATAATGACAATATTAAAACCACTAACCTCATAAGGTTGTTATGTCAAACAGTGACTATGAAGCATTTTGTGCATAGTTGGTTTCCAGGAATGGAAACTATTATATGTTGTGTATAAAATATATACCAATAGTGAAATACTAATAAGTAATATATAATTATAGCAATCATATGCTCTCTATTGGTGATAATAGGAAGCATTAACCTTGTGAAGTACATTTTTAAAAACATTTTTAAACTATGAGAATATTCAAACATACATAAAAACAGACAGAAAAGCAAACTCTGCGTACCCGTTACTTTTAAGTGTATTCTTAACTCAAAGATTTGAAGCCGCATTGTGCATAAGTGCCTTTGAGTAGTTTATTTTGCTGCTTTATAACTACTTTTTAAAATAAGTATTTATTTAAGAGTGTTTTGCTATTTTATGATTTAAATAAATTTGGTGTACAATTTAGAAAATGCAATTTTTTTAGAACAGTTTTTTTTCTTTGAAATTCACATGGCATTTGAACACTTGAAACTGTATTTTCTTTTTTTCTTTCTTTTGAAATGAATTTATTTATACACAAAAGTGAGTCATTTAAAGAAAACATTAAGTAAATGGCGGCACAGGCAGCATGCAGCCCATCATCGTGCTATTTTGTAGCTATGGTGAAAATCATGAAAGAGGTGAATGACTGATGTTTGGAAAACTCTGCTAGAATATTCATTCTGGGTGGTTGGACTGCCTGAGGGAAAGGTCAGGGTCTGCCTGAATTGGGCATTCTTGGTGGGGGAAGCAGCATGTACGGATTAGTGTGAACGTGTTAGGAAGGGTGGGAAGCTCGTATGACAGTGGTGCAGGGTACTGGGGTGATACAGAGGGCTTCCTCTGAGGTCAGGCTATGGACTTTGACTCCCGGGGGAGAATCCAGGGGCGGATGCGTTGCAGGGAAGTGACAGCAGGCCAGTGTTTATCAGAAGGTTGGAACCACTGCTAGTAGAGAGAGTGCTCTCTGGCGGGCAGGGCCCCAGGCCTCCCATCGTGAACTCTTTCCGTTCATCCCCAGCTTAGGTGCAGAGCCATGGATCCTAATTTTCACCAGGACTTTTGTATAAGAATATACATTAAATGGAAATTTACAGTAAAAAATGGGACTATTATAAATATTTGTTCATATGTGTTAGATTAAAAGAGTTTCTGTGTTATTTAGTTATTAAGAAAAAATCTGGCATGACCACATAGTGAATGAATTGTTTCAGAAATGGCCAGGTATGGTGACTCACGCTGCAATCCCAGCACTTTGGGAGGCTGTTGTGGGAGGATTGCTTTTGATTCCAGGAGTTCCAGATCAGCCTGGACAACATGGTAAAACCCCTATCTCTACAAAACAAACAAACCACCAAAAAAATTAGCTGAGTGTGGTGGCACACCCTGTGGTCCCAGTTCCTTGAGATGAAAGTATCACTCAAGCCTGGGAGGTAGAGGTTGCAGGAAGCTGAGATGGTACTCCGGGCTGGGCAACACAGTGAGACCCTGTCTTAAAAAAAAAAGAAATGTCTTGGTTCTGTTATGAACATGTAGTCAGATCTGCTACAGAGAGACTTTAGTTTCTTTCCTTATCTCTTTTTTCCTTTCCTTTATTTTAACTAAAAAAAAAAAATTAAAACTTAAAAATTTTGTAAGTTGTACAACTTCTGCATTCTTCTTAAAATGTCAAGCAAAATAATAGTATGGAATCAAAAGTTTCGGCCAGGCGCGGTGGCTCACGCCTGTAATCACAGCACTTTGGGAGCCAAGGCGGGTGGATCACCAGGTCAGCAGATCGAGACCGTCCTGGCTAACACGGTGAAACCCCGACTCTACTAAAAGTACAAAAAAATCAGCAGGGCTTGGGCGGGTGCCTGTAGTCCCAGCTACCCAGGAGGCTGAGGCAGGAGAGTGAGGGGAACCCAGGAGGCAGAGCTTGCAGTGAGCCCAGATAGTGCCGCTGCACTCCAGCCTGGGCGACGGAGTGAGACTCCGTCTCAAAGAAAAGAAAGCTTCCATTCCAGGACCTCTTCATGTGTGTTTTTAGAAAAGTCTGTTAAAACAGTTTTTTCCACACGATACTATGTCTGGATTGGTTTTATTATATTTAATTGCCCAGTATGATTTTTCTTTTAAAAAAGTACCATCTGGCCAGGCGTGGTGGCTTACGCCTGTAATCCAAGCACTCTGAGAGGCCAAGGCAGGCTATCACCTCAGGTCGGGAGTTTACAACCAGCCTAACCAACATGGAGAAACTCCGTCTCTACTAAAAATACAAAACTAGCTGGGCGTGGTGGCCCATGCCTGTAATCTCAGTTACTCAGGAGGCTGAGGCAAGAGAATCGCTTGAACCCAGAACGCAGAAGTTGCAGTGAGCCAAGATCATGGTGCCACTGCACTCCAACTTGGGCAACAAAAGTGAAACTCCATCTCAAAAAAAAAAAAAAAGGACTATCCAAGTGTTCTCCATAAGGCGTTACAATATATCAATAGCAGAAAGATCAGCGAGAGAAAGCAAAACTCTGGGGGCTATTTTGATCTGATCTATCATTGCACAATTTTAGAACATTCTCAGTTTTCTCATATATAATTTTTTGATACCTAATTCCTGTCAGAGACATACCAAATTATTTATTGTGTTAGTTTGCAA